AAAAAAACTAATAAAAATAAGGTAAATTTAACTGGATACTATCTAAATTGCCTTCTTATAAGTTGGTACAAATTTGCCTTTTTTTTTTTTCTTTTTGGAGAGAGAGAGGGAACAAGCAGGGGAGGGGCAGAGGGAAAAAGAGAGAGAGAATCCCAAGCAGGCTCCACTCCCAGCGCAGAGCCTGATGGCAGGCTCACTATCACGACTGAAAGATCATGACCTGAGCTGAAATCAAGAGTTGGAGACTTAACCGACTGAGCCACCCAGGCACCCCTATACAAATTTGCTTTTTTAAAGATTTTTATTTTAAAATAAAATCTAATGCTTACTCATTGTCAAAATTTAAAGATTACAGAAGTGAGTGAAAGTTGTGTTGTCCCAACTTTCCAGAAAAAAAAAAAAACACATTTACTTTGTGTATCATCCTAATTAGTGTCTCTGCCATGCCTCTCTTTGTCTCTCTCACACAGAATTACATACCACATTTTTCCTGCCAAAATGGGATCATATTATACTGTACATCTACAGTAGACATTTTTCACTTAATAGCTTCTCTTCATGTTGGCAAATATAGCTTTTCTTTATTTTCTTTAGTATAGGTATTCTATATCTTGATATAATAATTTATTTGATGAGTCCCTTATTGATAGACATTTAGACTGAAGAAAAGTTGAAGACAGTATGAGATAAGCTTCTTGTTTATATACCTCTGAGTTGAGTTGTGCCGCATCATTCTTTCTTACGGTCAAAAATGTCCAATCATTGTGTTGTGTTAATTATAGGGGAGAAAACCACTTCAATTTGAATTTCTTTGATATCGATAAGGTTAGGCATCATTCCATGTCTGTAGATCACATTTCCTTCTAGGATGTTTTCATTTATATCCCTTGCTTTGACCCTGAACCTCTGATTAATCATCTGTCACCTGTTCATCATTTGCAGACATTTTCTCCTGAGCCTATCCCTTTTTTTGTTTTTTTAATTGAATTTGTCATTTCCTTAGTCAAATAGAATAGTCAGTTATTATGTATACCAGCCTTTCCTTTTTTTGAATCCTGAATTTCCTCTCATACTCAGAAACTATCTTCCTTCATCTTAACATCATAAAAATACTCTTTTATATTTTCTGTAATTTTTGTAGAACTTTAGTCCATGTACAGTTTTTACTATATTGTTTCCCAAATGGAGACCAATTTTATTTCCGTGCCATTTATTGAGATGCCATCTTTGTCACACAATAAACTTATTTGTATGTATGACTAATTCTGAGAATCTTCATTTTGTTGCCCTGCGTTATTTTTCTTTTGCCAGTATCCTATCCACTGTAGCTTTAAAATGTCTTCAGAGGTGCCTGGGTGTCTTAGTCAGTTAAATGTCTGACTCTTGATTTTGGCTCAGGTCACAAGCTCATGGTTTGTGCGTTTGAGCCCTGCATTGGTCTCTGTGCTGACAGCACCACAGAGCCTGCTTGGAATTCTCTCTCTCCCTCTGTCTTTGCCCATCCCCTGCTTGTGCACACACTCTCTCTCTCTCTTTCTGTCTCTCTCCCTCAAAATAAATAAATAAATATTTTTAAAAAAATAAAATGTGTCTGGGTATATGATAAGGCCAGCCCACTCGAAGTTTTCTAGGATTTTCAAAAATAGTATTTTCATTTAGCTTTGATGAGGTTGGTGCTTAAATTTGCCTAATTTTGGATTTATTCACCATATAAAGTATTAGTCCATAAAAATATTTGCATGGGTCTGTCAGACCTTGCTTGAAACACTACAGGTAGCCTTAAATGTGCATATGCATTTTTGAAAAGGTTGTAGAGGAAGAATGATTCAAGTAGCATATTTTACTTATATGGGTATAAATTTATTACACTTACATAATATAAATGCTTTCATGTAATAAATATTTGTTGAGCACACCCCATTGTGCACTTAGATGCCTTCATGTGCATTTCATTATATACTGTTTCATTAATGTCCACATTCATTTTTGAGGCAATTATAATTATTCCCATATTTAAATTAAAACCTAAGACTCTGTTTCCTTGACATATGTAACTTAATCTAGCTGAAGTAGCCAGCACCTGGATTCTAATAAACATCTTAAACTTAGCATGTCTGAAACAGAATTCCCGATCTGCCTCCCCACATCTGTCCTACATGCAACCTTCATTGTCTTAATAAGAGCTTTATCCCTCTAGTCATTGCTGAGAGCCCGGATCCTAGCCATCACCCTGTCCCTGCTTGTAGGAAATCCTGTTGATTCCCCTTAGGCTGGGGTTTTAAAGAAATAATATATATAAACCACTTTGATGTATATGTGGCACAAAATCAAGAGTCAGACACTTAACCGACTGAGGCACCCCAGGTGCCCCTCAGACTGATCATTTTTAGATTTCTTAAGTGAGGTTGAATGGCTATGTTTTTAAGTAATTTGTTCATTTCACGAACTTGATAAATAGTAGAAGAAACATTTTCTTATTTATGTACGGTTCTATTATTGCTCTTAAATCACAAAATAATAATACCAAATATTTAAATAGCACTTACCATGTACTAGACTATTTTAATTGCTTTGCATATGCACACTTGTTTCATAACTTTTTAAGTTTTACAACAACCCTATGAGATGGGTACTATTCTTTCCCTTATTTTACAGATGAAAGGGAAACACAAAATGTGTAAGTATCTTGTTCAAAGTTAAATAGCTAGTAAGTGATAAGGACTAGATTTGAAAACAGACAGATTGCCATCAAAGTCAGTGCTCTTAGTGACTGTACTTCATTGCTTATCAAGTGTCTATTATTTTAAAAACAGCCATTATCTTCCTAATTGCATGTAGCAACTACTCTATCTCGTATTTTAATGATTTCAATCAGCATAAATGTTTATACAGTTAAAAATGAAAATTGAAATTCTTACATGTATTGTTACATTGTTATCTCTTAATGTAAGTCTAAGAAAAACCTTGTTGTTATCCAGTTCCTTAGCTTTTCTTCCAGCTAGTTTTTATCCTAAATCTTTTTTCTTTGTTTAATTTGGCCATCCCTCAGTTAACTGACTGAAAGTTTTTCAACTTTATTCACTATTTCTCAAAATCATTCTTTGTAAAGACCTGTTTCAAAACTTGTAGAAAAATGTAAATGTTTATTTAAAAATGACTATTTGTTCCCAATACCTTCTCTCATAGTAAATGAACTGTCAGCTCTCATGGAGGATGGACGTTCTCATGTTCTCCTAGCAAAAGTTTATAGTGAAGTGGAAAGACCTGGTGATGCCATAGCTTCATTACAACAGGTAAATGTACTTGTGAGTGCTTGTGGGGTGTCGGAGGGGAGGGGAGAAGGGAATACATCACGGGTAGGAGAAAGACCAGTTATTTTGGCCCAACTACCACAGAAAATAAGTCAAAATAGAAATAATGATCAAATGCCAATGGATTGTACTGTTTAAATGTGTTATTGATAATCATTGTAACAATTACAGCAAGTTAATATTTTTAATCCACTTTTGTAGCTGAGGAAGCTTGGTTTAATAATTTGTGTAAAATCACATGACCAGGGTCATAGGCAGGATTTGAATTCAGTTTTTTCTACTTTTGTTTATTTATATCTTCCTTAGTTTCCCTTAATATTTTGGGGGTTTTCAGAGGAGAGGTTTTATACACATTTCCTTAGATATATTCCTAGGCAGCTGATGGTTTTTGATGATTTTTCAACTTCTAGTTTGCTATTAGTTTTTTTTATAAATGACTTAAGTTTTATCTACTGCACTTTCTGCATTAATCAAGATGGTCGCATGAATCTTCCTTTTTTTCTTGTTAACGTGGTGTATTAAATTGGTTTTCAAATGTTAAACCACCCTTATATTCCTTAAATAAATGTCACTTCGTTGTGATTTTTTTTTTTAAGATATTGCTGGGATTTAAAGATACTCACTAATACTTTGTCTAAAATTTGTATATCTATGTTCGTAAGGGAGATTGGATCTCTAAGACTGTTGCTGTTTCTTTAATATTTGGAGTAATTCAAAATTAAAACCATTTCTACCTCAAGGCTTCGTTGATGGCAAGTTTTTATTAAAGATTCCACTGAGGGTTTCAGACTGATCATTTTTTTTAAGTTTATTTATTTTAAAAGAGAGAGCACATGGGTAAAGGGCAGAGAGGGAGACTGCCAGTGCAGTCTTACACGGCGCTCGAACCCACAAACTGTGAGATCATGACCTGAGCCAAAATCAAGAGTCAGACACTTAACCAACTGAGGCACCCCAGGTGCCCCTCAGACTGATCATTTTTAGATTTCTTATGTGAGGTTGAATGGCTATGTTTTTAAGTAATTTGTTCATTTCATTAATTGTCAAATTTATTGACTAAGATTTGTTCATTGTATCTTATTTTTTGAATGTCTGCAAGTGCTATAAAAATATCTTCTTTTATGGCCCCAATACTGATGATTTTATTTTCCTTCTACTATTAATGATCAGTTACACGAGGAGTTTATTAATATTTTCAGAGAACCAATTTTCCCCTTTTCTGGCTTCATTAAATGTTTTCCCTTTATCTCATTAATTAGTTTCCTCTACTTTCTTTGGATCTGGTTTGCTGATCTTTGCCTAGCTTATTGATGAATTATTGTTAGATAATGGATTAGTTAGCCTTAGTTCTGTTCTTACTAATTTAAGGTGAAAATTTTTCTCAAAGCATTGCTTTAGCTACCTCTCACAAGTTTATTATTATTCAGTTCATAATATTCCTCATTTCCCCTTTGATTACTTCTTTAACCATGGGTTATTTAGAAGTGTAGTATTCAGTTTCCAAACAGTTCTGATTTTCTTGTGACCTTTTTTTTTTTTTAATACCTCTTAATCCCTTTCACCTATTTTGCCCATTCCACTACTCCCTCCCTTCCGGCAGCCACTAGTTCTCTGTATTTGAGTATTATCTTTTGGATATTGATTTCTAGTTAAATTCCACCGTGGTCAAAGACATACTTTGAATGATTCAATCCTTTGAAATTTGTTAAAGCTTGTTCTGTGTCCTACATTATAATCAGTTTTGGTATAGGTTCCGTGTGGATTTGAAATAATGTGTTTCTGGCATTACTGAGCACTTAGTTCAACATATGTCGTTTGGGTCAGATTTGTTAATTGATTTATCCTACATCTTTGCTGAGCTTGAAGTGGAACGTAGAGTACTTCATTACTAATCCTATATGCTTTCTAGAATCCCACACTGCTTGACACCTTTTGACCCAATTTTCATGTACCCAGAAGAATTCTCCATTCTCCAAATAATTTATCAAATGTTTTGATTTTGAGCTTTAGCTAACAGTGGTGTGTGTGTGTGTGTGTGTGTGTGTGTGTGTGTGTGTGTGTGTAAAATAACCTATATTTCAGTAATTTGCCCAATATGTCCAATAATTTTTTTTATTCTAGTTACGAATGAATTGGTCTTGGACTATTAGATTTCTATGATACTCATTACATTTCTGTGATACCCATCTAAGTTTATGATTTCATTAAAATATGTAATCTTTAAAGTCTTAATATCTTATCCTTAATTGGTATGGTTTTATCCCTATTTTTCTATCACATGATAAGAGAATTTCACCTAACCCTAGGTTAGCTATCATTAGCTACAAGAAAAGTGTAATTTTGGTAAATTTAGACTTTTAAAATATTTTAGAAGTGAATTTGGCTTATTTTACTTTTTTATAAGTATTATTAGTCACAGCTGCCTTGGTTATATGAGTTCTTGTGTTGTATGAGCAGATAAATCAAGCAACACTGAGAACAGTGTACTCAGTATACTGAGAAACAGTATACATGGCTAGACAATGCCAGTGGGCCAAATTTAAATAATTTTAAGTTTATATGTTATAGCACTGAGATTATTCATCTTTAATAAAATTTAAAGAGCCCTAAATTTCTTCCCAATTGTTAACATTCTATGCTTTCTGATCTCCAAAAAGATAAATCCTGAGTTATAATTCAAACAGAAACTTATAAATATAATCAAAGTTTTTGATATTTTAAGTTCATTTATTCAGGACCCATTACTGAGCCTAATCTCCACTTTATGGAACTTTAGGAGTCCCATCACAGTATTTTTGCATAATTGCTAAACATTGTAGGCCATGGCAGAACTGCTACATTTAGGGAAACCCCAAGTCTTATTAATTATACTTTATAAAGATTTCAGATTTCTGAAATAACTCCACATTTTTTCATCTCGTCATCTTTCTGTTACCTTTTAGCCCTGTCCAGCATTATCTTTTGCCCAGACTCCAGGAGCCTCTTAACTAATCCCCATCCCCTTCCAATCTTGTTTCATTCCAGTTCTCCACAACACCAGAGTAATTGCTCTAAAGGGCAGACCTGATGTTGTCACCCTGTTGCTTATAAACATGTAGTAGTAACTACCCTGTGTTAAAAACTGCCCTCTAGAATAAAAAGCAAATTATTTAACAAGCTTACCTGATGTAAATTATCTCTGTGTTTCTAGCCATTTTTCCTTCTAATTCTTTGGTCAAACAATAGTATCCCGCACCTTCTTCCTTCACCTGTCGTTCCTAATGCCTGTAATCCATCCCATCTCCTTTCCTTCCCTCAAAGTCACATGGGAGTACTACCAGTAATTCTTCAAGTCTCACTTGATCTCCAAGATTAGGTCAGGTCTCCTATTATGTAATCCCAATGCAACTGGTATTTCCCAGCCATAAAACAGGACCCTCATAATTTGCCGTTATTATTTTATTATCTGTCTTCATGCTAAAATTAAAATTTCCATGAGTGTAGGTGTAGTTCCATGTTTTGTGACCCTAGCAAATGCTTGCTTCATTAGTTTACTATGCTGTGTAACAAATCGCCACAAGTTGTAGTCAATGAAAACAATACACACATTTATTTTTTCACAGTTTCTGTGGGTGTGTATTCTGGGCATGGTTTAGCTGGGTCCTCTAAAAGGTGTCAGGACAGTCAAGGTGTGGCCAGGGCTGGGTTCTCATGTGGAGACTTGTCAGGTGGAGGATCTACTTCTAAGCTTAAATGGGTTGTTAGCAGAATTCATTTCCTCAAGGCTGTGAGACTTAGGGCTCCAAGTTCCCGTTTGCTTCTTGTTGCAGATCCTAGAGGTTCATCAGCTCCTTGCCTGGTACGCCAGCTAATAGGGTCACTTAGTTCTTCAAAGCCAGCATGGAATAAGTCTACTAACAGAGTCTTATGAAATGTAATCATGGGGGTGAGATTCCATCATATTTGCCATATTCTATTGGCTACAAGTAAGTTATAGGCCACACCTCACACAAAGAGGGGTGATTAATACAAGGAAGTGAACATCAAGAGGTGGGGATCATGGGAGTCATCGTAAAAATCTGTCCACCATGACAGGTGCTTGAAATTTGAGTTGAATGATTGAAAGGAAACCATACATTTTTTAAAATTTTTTTAAATGTTTATTTATTTTTGAGAGAGAGAGAGAGAGACAGAGCACAAGCAGGGTAGGGGTAGAAAGGGAGGGAGACACAGAATCTGAAACAGGCTTCAGGCTCTGAGCTGTCAGCACAGAACTCGACATAGGGCTCAAACTCAAGAATTGTGAAATCATGACCTGAGCCAAAGTCAGACATTTAACCAACTGAGCCACCCAGGCGCCCCGTGAAAACCATACATTATTTTAATTCTTTAATTGCAGGAACAATTACAGGGGGAAAAAAATCACTTTTTATCATCTTAACCATTTTTTCTATGAAAATAAAATCTAAATAAATTAAATACAAACAACCTATATGTCATAAAACACTAACAATTTTGTGACTTTTAACTTAGTGTAGCTTTAATTACTACGAACAGATTATATTTATTTTTGCTTTTTTTCACTTAACATTCGTGTGGCTTTTTCCCTGATGTCTATGTAGCTCCATCTTCCTCATATAAAATATAATGTGACATTCTGACTTTATTGATAAGTTTTATTTTGATATGGCTTTCAGTAAGATACATATACAACAAGGCTATTGAAATATAAAAGGAAAATTAAGAAGTCTATGAAATAAGATGTTTATATGTCATTCTACCCAAGGGTTTTATGGAATTTACAAGAATATTATAAAATAAGGAGAGAAAGTAAATGCATTGACAATCAAAGTTAATATAGTTATTTTAACAGACAATTAAATTTAGCTTTAATCTTTCTGGAACCCAAGGAAAAAACATAGGAAATGGTATCAATTCTTCAAGAAAATTTTATTCTGTATGAAAATATTTTCTAATCATTATATACTCACAATCATTGACTGTTCTTTTATGAAATGACTTTAATAGGAAATGCAAAAACTTTTGCTCAAAAAATCTGCCCTGATTATTTGCCTTCAGGAAAATGCAAAGCAGGGCACTGAGCAGGGTGGCTCAGTTGGTTAAGCGTCCTACTTTTGATTTCAGCTCAAATCATGATCTCATGGTTGTGAGATCAAGCCTCACCTCAGGCTCCATGTAATGGAGCCACCTTAAGATTCCCTCTCTCCCTCTCCCTCCTAAATAAATAAGTAGATAAATAAAGTGTTTCTCTAGAAGTTAAGCTAATGAGGTCCACTCATCTGACTTTGTAGCAATTTAATTGATGCAGAGATAAAACTTAGGCTATCTCGAGAATGAATTGTATACCGTTTAGACCTAGGATGACCAAAGAATTTATCATTCTAGCCAAAATACTTTTGAGAGAGAAAGAAGGCAGAATTAATAATAACCTGGCACAACAGATATAAAAGGTACTGCCAGATGGAACGATACATTCACTCTATTTAGACAGTTGTTTCAGAGTTTTTTGTCTATGAGTGTGTGTTTGTGAATATGTGTGCAAAACTATGCACACCAATATATGTATGTATAAAAAACATCAAATATACAAATATACACATACCTCTGCACTTAAGCATACATTCATATAAGCAAAATAAAAATTTCATGAAACAATATTAACCTTTACCACATGCTATATATACCCATGTTTTCTAATCTTTCCTCTTTCATTTCCAAAAGAATGCTTATTATGACACCTTAAATTAATGTTACGACCTACGGTTCTAAAAATACTCTGCTTTAGACCATCTTCGTCAAATACCAGTTGTCAACCAACATTCTGACAGGAGTCCCCAGAAGGGCTCCCTGTGTGTAGCATAATGTGTGGCAGATGGTGGGCATTTTACTCTTTGTTAAATGAATGCATGAATGCCTTAGTGGATGGTTATCTATAGCTCAAAGTTAAATTTTATTGTGAAGGCCTAAAACGTAGGACTTCTCTGTCATTTACAAAAGGAAGGTCTCAATGTTTCACAAATCAAACATGTAGGTAGGTGATAAGGCTGATATTCTAGTTTAATAACCTGCTCTACATTCTTACCTTGACGGAGGCCCCTACCTCCTTTCTGGGTATCTGTGTATAGTGTTGGACCTTATAAATATACACCATCAGTTCGTTGGTCATTTCCCCATCATTAGACATTTGAGTTGCTTTCAGATTTCTTATTTTTTGTTGTTTCTTTTTTTGTTTTTACAACAAATAACAGAGATTGTTTTTTTTTCTTTTTAACAGATAACATGTTTCCTTTTTTTCTTCTAAGTAACATCCATAATACCTTCCCAAAAGTGGAACAACTAAGTTCAGTAGTTTGATTCGTTTTATCAAGTTAGCATGTTTTGCTAGGATGCTCTCCAAGAATGTTTGGACTCATTCGTTTGTCATCACCGATACATGGATGTACTTACTGCCTGAAACCTTCCAATATTTGATTTAATAATTTTTAGATACTACTTTATTAATTTAATAAACATTTTATATTTCCACGTATTTAATTGCAGCATCTAGATTATTTTCCATATATTTGTTTCATGCCTGCATTTCCTCCTTAGTGAGCCTTCTGTACATATCCTTATAACAGTGGGAAAAGACTCAGTAATTTTATTATACTTTGTTTGGAAAGATATGTGCATGCTGGCTCATTTGCAAACAAGCACATGTTTAAGACCTCAATTAAGACATTTTCTTTGGATCAGGCTTTGTTAGATTTAAGGCCAATAATGCTTAAATATATCTTCTGTAAATGTATGCCGTGTGTGAGTTATTGATAATTGTTTAACTTATTTTCCATTTCTTTTTTAAATTCCTTTTTATCCTTATTTTCTTCTAGGCTCGAGAATTACAATCTCGGATACTAAAACGTGTTCAGATGGAACAGCCAGACGCAGCTTCTGCACAGAAGCATTTAGCAGCTGAAATTTGTGCAGGGATTGCCAAACATTCTGTTGCTCAGCGAGACTATGAAAAAGCAATTAAGTTTTATAGAGAGGCTCTTGTTCATTGTGAAACAGATAATAAGGTCAGAACCTTTATAAAATTTTCACCGCCTTTTATTCCAGATGTCATCTAATTGCCCTAGATGTAAAATTCTTACCAGCTTGTTTGTAAAAAAATAAATGTAATAAAAATACAAGCTAAAAAATTAATATTGTTTCTAGAAATTCTTCAAAATGCCTTATGTAATAATGTCAGAGTCTAAAACTTATCGTGGAAGAAGTGACATAAAATAAATCAGTAAGCTTTTTGGTTTTTTTGATATTAATCTATGTTTTGATAATCACTCTAAAACAATTTCTCAGTCTCGAATATCTGGGTCTTCATGATTCAGTTCAGTTTACTAAACTGCTATTGAACACCTCTGTATTTCAATTGCTATTTGGTGCTGGATATGCAGAAAAGTGACTAGACGAATCTCTTACCTAAAGTGGCACAGCATGAGAATACCTGTAAGGATAATACTGGTAAAGAAAACTTCTATACGTGTCTGGTTATGTAAATTAAAATGCTGTTACTCTCTCAAAGCTAGATAGATGATTAATTTAAAAAAATTAATATATGGCTAAATACTTCTTTTTTTCTTTTTCTTTTTTTAACTTAAATCCCAGTTAGTTAACATACAGCATAATAATAGTTTCAGGTGTACAATATAGTGATTCAGCAATTCCATACAACACCTAGTGTTCATCACAAGTACCCTCCTTCATCCCCATCCATACCTCCACCCACCTCCCCTCTGGTCACCATCAGTGTGTTTTCTACAGTGAAGAGTCTGTTTCTTGGTTTGCCTCTATCTCTCTTCTTTTTTTTTTCCCTTTGCTTATTTGTTTTGTTTCTTAAATTTCACACATGAGTGAAATCATATAGTATTTGTCTTTCTCTGATGCATTTATTGCATGATGCAGGAGAAAAGACAACTATATTTTAGAATTTAAGGTTTTATTTTTTTTTCAATGTTTATTTTTTTTAGAGAGAGAGACAGAGTGTGAGTTGGGAAGGGGCAGAGAGAGGGAGACACAGAACCTGAAGCAGGCTCCAGGCTCTGAGCTGTCAGCACAGAGCCCGATGCAGGGCTCGAACACTTGAGCTGCAAGATCATGACCTGAGCTGCTTAACCAACTGAGCCACCCAGATGCCCCAAAATTTATGGTTTTGAATTGAACATTGTAAAATGAATACAACTCTTCCAGATGTAAGGCAAAAATAACCCTTAAGGCATAGCCAAATAAGTACCTTGTATAGTGGTGGTTAAAGGAGTTAGAATCATGTTTTCAAATCTGAAGCATACTTTGGAAATTATCCGCTAAAAGCTTTTTATTTTTCAAATGAGAAAACAGGTTTAGAGGGATAACAGGGACCTGGCCCCATCGTGGAGAAGCCTGGACTAGAATCTAATCTCTCTCTGATTTAAGACCAGTGTTCTTTCCACAGTGCTTTGAGTCTATATACCTTTCAAGTGAGTTACTACCTGTTTTCCCCCTTTCTTCCAGTATAAGAGAAAATAGAGGGGGGTATGTGTATAGTTCTCCTGCCGATCATACTTGGCATTTTTATTGCAATTGCTTTCGGTCAGCTGAAGTGTAATCTGTGTCCAGACATTTTCCATATGCACTTTTTAATCCAAACAGTTTCTGACTAATCTTGCGCTTTTTCTCTACAGATCCTGTTGGAGCTGGCTCGATTGTACCTGGCACAGGACGACCCTGATGCCTGCCTGCGGCACTGTGCGCTGCTTCTCCAGAGTGACCAGGACAATGAAGCTGCCACCATGGTCAGTGCAAAGGACTTCAGTGCTGGAAAGGCAGTTGTGTTTTATATTCCATGTGGAAGTTTCAAATTTTACCCCGTAAAACTAATACTAGATGAGAGGCCTGGCTCACGTTGACTTTTGGAAGAAACAGTATTTTTAACGTTATTAGCATATTTTACCAATAAAGACCAAGAATCTCTTTGTTTTATAAGAATGGCAAACCTAGTTCAGGCCTTTACTTTCCCTTTGGGGTCTAGTTAATTTGTCTTTATGCCGAAGAGGATACATGATCAGGAAGAGTTGATGTGACAAAGCTATCATTTGCTAACGACTGACTTTTAAGTACTTACCCAGACATGCAGGACTAATTAAAAAGTTTCCATGGGACTTTTGTAGTTACAGAGAGAAGCCTTGATGTATTGTTCTAAGATGGTGTGCTTTGCTTTCTCATTTTTACCCGGGTTGAGATACGAGTTCATTTCCCAACGGCTAGGTAGATGATAGTATGTGAGGTTCACTGAAAATTATTATTATAACAAAAAAGAAGTATAAAAAGCATCCCTTTTAAAACACAATAAGAAAAGCTCAGTAGATCTTGTGTATTTTAAATTGCTTTGGAATATTTAGGGTTTAAGAGTATTTGGGTTTTTTTAAATCTTCTCGTCCTTTTAGCCAAATCCAGGGAGGCATCTTTTCTATCACGGCACATAGAGTGTGCAATTCCCTTCAAGTTTCTGTTTTTAAAATAGCCACTTGAAACATATTTTCTGCTAAAAATGAAGTTTTGTGAACAGAGTGATCTGTTTCACATCCTTAATTATCTTCTGTTACAGTGATATGAATTAGTGTAATTCATATCTTGAGTCTCAAATTTTATTTTATTTATTTTTTTAATGTTTATTTAATTTGAGAGAGAGAGAGAGAGAGAGAGAGACAAGAACGTGAATGGGGGAGGGGCAGAGAGAGGGAGACACCGAATCAAAGCAGGCTCCAGGCTTTGAGCTGTCAGCACAGAGCCCGGCGTGGGGCTCAAACTCACTAACGGTGAAATCATGACCTGGGCTGAAGTCAGATGCTCAACCAACTGAGCTACCCAGGCTCCTCGATATACTTGAATTTTAAATGGCTCCTTTTTGTAAAACTTTGCCCTCTTCATGTTTTTCATGGGTGTTTTCATAGCCCTAAATCTTGACAGGAAAGGTATGCTTTGTAAAATATATGGCAATATTTTTAGAACCAACTTTTACCTTTATAGATGATGGCAGATCTCATGTTCAGGAAACAGGACTATGAACAAGCAGTGTTTCATTTACAGCAGCTTTTAGAACGCAAACCAGGTAAATATCCATTAATTATGTTTTTACTAATGCAGTCAACTTCCTTTCTCTTCTTTTTGACTGTTATGAAAACCTCAGTCAAATCCAACTCTCTGTTCCACACCTGCCTTTGAGTAGCAGAAATGGCTGTAAGGAAAATGCAGCACCTTTGACTGGCCTCACTTTAAATTATGACCACAGACCCCCAGTGGGCCCTCAGATGCTGCCTGGCAATCCTGCTGTATTTCTCTAATGAATTCACTCATTCCAGCTGCTTTTTATACCTTCTCCTCCCCCCCTCAAACCTCTAGCCCCCTCATCCCCCTTCCTTGTCCTCAACTAAAAATGTTGCCGCGCACTTGAGTAGGAAAATACGAGCAACTGGAAGAACTCCATTCGCCTTTCATCGGGTCTGCCTTCTCGCAGCCGTTGTCCTCCCCAGATCTGCCATCCTTCCCACAGCCAGTGTCTCCCTGTGGGCCAGGGATGCCACCGCTGTCCTCCTGGAGGGCTTTCTTCAGGCACATCTGTCTCTCCTGCACCACCATTTTTTCCCAAGTCCACGCACAAGTATGGCGTGATAGCCCCTTGCTAAATATATTAACTAAAAACCAGTTCTTAACTGTCCAGTTACTCTTCTGCCAATTAATGCTCCATTCTTCGCTTTTCCCGGATAGAACATCTCCTCTAAACGGTTTCCATCTGTGCTGTCTCCACATCATCTGCTCCGCTCCTGCAGTCCAGGGAGGCTGTTTCTGCAGGACAGGCGGCCACCTCCAAGCTGCCAGAGCCTGCGTTCATGTCTCAGCTGTCTGCTTCCGTGGCCTGTCCTTACGCTCAGCACAGCTCCTTCCCTCCCTCGTGAAGGACTTTCTTCACTTGCCTGCTGGGGCGCTGGGCTTCCCTGGTTTTTCTTTTTTTGTTGTCTACATCTTTGTTAGATCTCTTTTCTCTTTATGACCTGTAAATATCAGAATGTTCTAGACCCGGGCTCTCAAACTTTTTTTTTTTTTTAATATAGTCAGCCCACTGGGTGACTTCAGGCCCATGGCTTTATGTCCTACGTGTATGCTGGTGTCTTGCAAGCATGTTCCTCCAGTCCTGACCCATTCCCACCCTGCTGTCCTGGGGGGTCTCCAGCTTGACATGTTTCTGTAGAACAATGGATCTCTCCTTCTGTCCCTCCAAATCTACTCCTCCATTTCTCACCTCAGTAAATAGCATCACCATTTACCCACTTAGGCCCCAAACCTTACAGTTACCTTCGGCTCATCTGTCTCTCTACCACATCCCGTCTGTCAGCATATCCCCGTTGCTCTACCTTCAGGGCATACCTGGAATCCCATCACCTTTTACTTCCTGTGCTGCTGCCACCTGGTCTCAGGCATCAGCGTCTCTCACGTAGATAGTTAATGCTGTGTTCTCAAACTCTCCCCTGTTTCTGTTCCTTGCCTCCAGACAGTCGAGAAATGCTTTCAGCTGAAAGTAGCAGAGACTGCCCCTCTCAAAGTTCCAGTGGCCTGAATGATTATGGCTCTTTATTTTCCTCTTATGTAAAAGAAATGTAGAAGTCGGTTATGCGGAGAGTGGCATGGAGGACCCACAGTATCATCAGGACACCTGAGTCCTCTGCCTTTTTCTCCTGCCCTCATCAGCCTGACTTCCACTCTGAGTATCACCTCATTGTCCAGGATGACTGCAGCTCTAGCATCAACGTTCCAGGGCCCAGATGGGGAAGGTTGGGGTGGAGGTGGCTAAAAGGGATTACCTCCCTAGTGAACCATCTTTTTTTTTTTTTCTGTAAAAAATTTCCCTTCTGGAAGCACCTGCATGGCTGCAAAAGATGGTGGGAAAGGTCATCTTTTAGTTGAACCCAGTGCCATGTAGGATAAAATCAGAATTCTGATAGTAAGGAAGAAAGTGATGGTAGACATTAGGTAGGCAACAGTCCTCGCAGCTTAGTGCCCTGACACTTTTAAATTGCTCTTCCCTCTTCCTGGAATATTCTGGTGGCGGCTACTTCACGCCTTCAGGACTTGGCTCCAGCATGGCCACATCCTGAGAGCACCCTTCTGCAGCCATCCTGTATCAATGACACCTCTTACTGCTCTCTATCTTTCTATCTTGTGTTCGGCTTTTTTATATCACCCTAAATAATAGAATGTAAGCATCAAGTGGCCAGGAACTTTGTCTTTGTTGCTGTGTTTCCAGGATTTAGAACAGTATCTGGCCAACTTGGTACTCAGTAAATATTGGATAGAAAAAGAGTGGGAGGAGCAAAGGGAACAAGGGAGAGGGAAGGCGGGGAGGAAAAGGAAAACAGGAAAGGAAAGTGGAAACAGTAACGTGTGTTACTTACGTTTTTACCAAAAAGTGTTTGAAATCTCAGAGGACTCCTAGAGGTGTGACTCAGTTCTTGTAAACCCTAATGCCTTCATGGTGGGATGCCACCACGGGCAACCAGAACTGCCTGGTTTGGGCAGCTGTCTCTTTCAAGTAGGGCAACTCAAAAACCTTATAGACTCTACTATTGTAGTTACTAATGCTTCTACTTTTAAAAAGTTTGAATTTGAGAACAACACTTTCTACTTACAAACAAAATACCCCTTGTTAGAGTAAAGGTTGAAAGAAAATAAGTCCTTTCTGTCTTTATAGTGATAACAACATTTTATTTTATTTCTACTATTTTTATTATCTTTTTAAATGTGCTCCCACCTTTGGATTGCCTCATGCTCTGTTGTTGTTTCTTTCTTTCCCCAGTCTGTCCCAGCTTCTACCCAGGTGTTATTTAAAAGAGTGCAGTTAATCCAGGTGCCTGGGTGGCTCAGTCGGTTAAGCTCAGGTCATGATCTCTCTCACAGTTCGGGAGTTCAAACCCCGCATCAGGCTCTCTGGCAACAGTACAGAGCCCCCTACAGATTTTCTGTCTTCGTCTCTCTCTTCCTCCCATCCCACTCTCTCTCTCTCTCTCTCTCAAAAATAATAAATAAACATTAAAAAAATAAAAGAGTGCAGTTAATTATATTAACATCTTACCTCTTCTACTCACTCTGAGTACATCTTCCCACCTCAGTTGCCCAAAGCTTACTCTTACTTTCTTCAAGCCTAAGTTATTTTTGTCATGCCATTTCTGTCCGGGGTTCTAGACTCTGCTTGTCCTTTTCTCCTTCTATGAACTGCCAGTTTAAGGGACACACATACTATTTTCATTCTGTCCCAAGCTGTTCTCATATTGTAGCACTTCTCTCTGAGTGAATAATCAAACCTGGCTTCTTTAAAAAAACAAACCTCTGCCCTTGGAATATTTTTAAGCCATTGATGATGCTAGTGCCCTCACATAGAAGATTTGAAGAAGCCCTCATCTGTCATGTGAATTTGGTCTCAGCCAGGTAACTTGGCATCAGCATTTTGTTGAAAGAGATAATAGTCAAATTGGCTTAGTAGACTGGCAGCTTTGGACTGTCTGTTTATAAACAAATATGAAATAAATTATTTGTAAATTCAGTGTACAGACTTTGTACATTGGAAATACCAAATCACATACATCCATATGTCCAAATCTTTGCATGTTTCTTTTTCCTTTTGCCTATAGTGCACATTGCCTTCCTTATTCTTTTTCTCTTTCCCAACACATGATCCAAAATATACTCACCCTTTACCAAAAACAAAAGCCTGTACCTTACTGCCACCACCTATGTTTTAAGATGCCTTACGTGATGCTGAGTAGGGGGACCATCCACCTCGATTTGCCAGAGATGAGAGGATCTCCTGGAATGCAGTACTTCCAATGCTAAAAGAAAGTCTCAACAAAGTGGGATGAATTGGTCACCCAAATCCTGGATGACTTCACCCATATCTCTTTGTCTCGTCTCTTCTAGTATCTTTCTGAAAATATTTATGCATACATTTGTCTTCTCCATGGGACTACAGTCTCCTCAAGTTTGCAGAGATCACATCATATTCATCTTAGTCCCCAGCATCAGACGAATCACCAAGCACATAGATGTTGCAAAATAAATATTTATTGGTTGAATGGATCAGTGCATGACTAAAATACCCAGTCATTTAAAAATACAAAATGTTAAAATTTTTGTGGTCTCTGTCATATTTTAGGTTTTTAATCTTGGATTCTTTATTCCTAATAGGACTCTATTCACAGATATGTTCTATCAGAATCATTCTAAAACCTGAGTATCTATACTTACTCTCTGCATGAATTATAGGTCATCCTAAGTAACACATGTTATACCTTAAATTAATGCTGTATTTTAGCTGACTTCAGAAACGCACTGTCTAATTTGAGTTAACCTAACTAGTAGGCAGTCCTTCCTATAGAGGTAATTACTGTTCTCTTGACAGATTACACCTCTTAACTCTTAAAATCTCCACATCATCTTGGGTTGTCCCTTCCCTCACACTAACTTCTTAACAGGGTTCATCAGTTCTGTCTGCTAAAGAGCCAGCTGTCACATCCAGGCTGCCGTCTGCTAAGCCTACTGCTCGAATTAGCGCCTTTATCCCCTCTCACCGAGACCAGTGCAGCCCCCGCACTCATCCTCCAGTCTCTAGGCTCCTGCCATTTGACACCTTCATAGCACTTCTGTAAATCAAAAACTGCTGCTTGGCGTACAATTTAGGATGGCTCTCCAGGGGAAAGTCTAAAATCATAGCATTATTTTGGTAATAAGGCAGCCCTAAATTACTGGTCCATTTGTATTTCTTACCCCTCTTCCTCCACTTTAATATCAGGTAACCTTGGACTTAGCAGCACTCCCCATGCTGCTCTGCTCTGTCTTTGCACATGCCATATGCCTCTTGGAATGTCTTGGTATGTCTAGCAAGATCCTCCTCGTAGCCTTCAGGCTGCCCAAAGGTCTGATTCCATGTGAAACCTCCCGCCTACCTCGGGCAGTTAGGAATTCTGTGCATTGTAATTCCAAAGCACTTTTATTCATGCTGCATCGCATCACACTATAATCATTTGGTATCTTCTCCCTGTCCCTCAATAGGTATGAGCTAAGTTTTTTCAGAATATATAATACATTTCAGTTTTCAGTGGATTCCCTAAGTACAGAAATTTGCCTGTTTGTCAGATTTCATGGTTAACCAAAAGACAAGTCAGTATCAGTGGTAATTATAATTTGAACTAATAATACATTTCAGTAGTATTGGAAAGTGATAATTATTTAAGAAACTGTCCTCCCAATGTTGACTTTAGATAATATTAGCAATATCATGCATCGCACATATTAGCAACATCATACAAAAAAACTTTGGCCAGAAATTTTCACCTTCACATCCTGCCTAATCCAAGACAGCTTCTAGGTCCTGTGACTTTATTGTGGGTAGTTATCCCTAGTTTCTATCCACACTTTTGGAGTTGTAAGTATTACTAATGACCATTGTAATTTTTTTTTTAATTTTTTAAGTTTATTTATTTTTGAGAAAGAAACAGTGCAAGCTGGGGAGGGGCAGAGAGAGAGGGAGACAGAGAGTCCCAAGCAGAGTCCGTCCTGTCAGCATAGAGCCCGATGCGGAGATTGGACCCACGAAACCGTGAGATCATGGCCTGAGCCAAAACCAAGAGCCAGACGCTTAACTGACTGAGCCACCCAGGCTCCCCACTAATGACCATTGTATTTTTAAAGCTCTTTCATGTATTTGGTCTCTATGACATGTTGAGGGTCAATATTATATTCCTATTTTAAGAAAATAGGTAATCCTTGACTCAGAGAATTTGAGTAATTTGTTTGAATTTCTGTAGCTAAAAGACAAGACCACTAGTTGAATCCTCTTTCTCTGAAACCATGCTCTGTATTTTAGTGATACCAAAAAACAGGAAGAACAAAATCTCAAGATACTAGGTAAAGGAAGGCAAATGATGATGTTGTCAACCTGGATTACGTTAACATCATGTAATAGAGTAGAAACCAAGCCTACAGAAGTTGTTTTTTTTTTTTTTAAGGATTTTTTTATTGTGGTAACATAACAAAAAGTACATAACATAAAATTTGCCATTTTAGCCATTTTTGAGTGTACAGTTCGCTGACATTTAGTACATTCAAATTATTTTGTACCCATCGCCATTTTTCATCTTCAGAACTTTTCCATCATTCTAAACTAAAATTCTGTACCCACTAAACGCTAACGCCCCCTGCTCCCCTCCCCCATCTCTTGGCAACTCCCATTCTACCTCTCTATGAATTTGACTACTGTAGGTAGATACCTTATATAAGTGGAATCATATGATATTTGCCCTTTTGTGCCTGGCTTATTTAGTATAATGCTTTCAATGTTCATGCTGTAGCATATGTCAGGATTTCCTTCCTTTTTAAGGCTGAGTAATACTCCATTGTGTGTATATACCACACTTTATTTGTCCATTCATCTGATGATGAACATTAGGTTGTTTTCACTTTTGGCTATTGTGAATAATGCTGCTGTAAGCACAGGTGCACACATATTTACTTGATTCCCTGCTTTCCATTCTTTTGAATATATACCCAGAAGTGGACTTGCTGGATCATATATTTTCTCTCCTTAGAACATAAAATCAAGGAAAAATTTCTTAAAAAGTTTTTGTTTGTGTGTTTTAGTTCTAATTCACTTAACAGAAAAGATCAGCATAGCTTATACAATGATTTTCGCAAATCCCCTACTATGAGTCCTGTGCTCACTGAAACTTGAGAGACCAAACATCTAAAAAGCACAACTATAGAGAAATAAAATATAAGCCATTGATATAATAGACTATTATGCAGCCATTTAAATCATGTTTTTGAAGACTAATGAGTTGGGAAATGTTTATTGTATAATGCTGAACCAAAATTAAAACCCCAAGTGTGACTTCAATTTTGTATATATTAATATTGTATATTAATATTGCATATTAATTTTATATATATTAAATATTGATATAATAAAAGTAGATACATAAATACTGATAGAATGATTTTCACTCACAAATATATGAAAAGAAAAGTACCAAAATGTGGTCATCTCTAGCTGGTGGGAATATGAGTGATTTCTTTTTCTTCTTTATACTTTTCCAAATTTTCTAAAATGTCTATGCGTTATTTTTACAATCTGAAAAATATTTATTAAATTTTTCTCAAAACAGTATTTTAATGATATAAAAGAACTAGATAGAATTGGGAGAAGGCTTTCTAGGAACCTGCCAGTAAATTATACCTGATACCAAAGAACTAAATTAATTCTTTTTTCTTAGGAGAAGGCAAATTAGGATTAAAATACTAGGACTGATTTGTTACAGTTGTATTATGGTAAGCTAGTGTCTAGTACATTAGTCACATATACATATTAAGAAAAGTCTGGAGTAAAATTTCTGATTGCCCACCCCAAACATTATCATCAAAAAGTACTGTTCTCACCCTGTTCCTAGCTAAGGGTGGAGGAGAAAGGAGGTCAGAGATAGTCTTAACCCTGTGTAATCACATCAACCCTCCTGAATTCTACAGTTACAGTTTAGATGATCAATGCAGAGACTGTTTCTAGATTTTGGTCCCAGGAACAGTTGAAAATTAAGTTATAACAAATGTACATTTTTATACATTGGCTTGTATAGAACCTTCTCCCACTGCCCAGACCAACCAAACCTTTATCCAATTACTCATACAGTCTTTTTAAGGGTTTATAATACCTAAAGCATTCCTTTTGCTTGTATTTAAATTCTACATCACTTAAAGTAAACTGTACTTTAATGAAGCAGGATTATAACCACAAAAACAAGAGATATAAAATGTTGTCTATATTTGAAATATTCTTTGTTTCTAGATAATTACATGACATTATCTCGTTTAATTGATTTCCTGAGAAGATGTGGAAAACTTGAGGATGTTCCAAGATTTTTCTTAATGGCTGAAAAACGTAACTCCAGAGCAAAATTGGAGCCGGGATTTCAGTACTGTAAAGGACTATATCTTTGGTAAATCTGTTGGTGAATAAATCCTACATAATAGTTTTTTTCTTTCTTATTGTGAATAAAGTAGAATAAACTTTCCTTTGTCTTAAGATAGATCTACATTTTATGGAGCGCTTGGGTGGCTCAGTGGGTCGAGCATCCAATTCTTGATTTCGGCCCAGGTCATGATCCCAGGGTCATGGGATCCAGCCCCAAGTCGGACTCTGGGCTGAGCACGGAGCCTGCTTAGGATTCATTCTCTCTCTCTCTCTCTCTCTCTCCCTCCCCCTCCCTCCCTGCATCTCTCCCTCCCTCCTTCCCTTCTTCTGCCCCTCTCCCCCATTTGTGCTCTCTCCTCTCTCAAATTAAAAACTTTAAAAAAAACATGTTAATAATTTTAACCAAATCTTTACCAAAGATATTATAAATGACTTAAAGTTTGTAGTCGACAATTGAAATAAGTGATTTTTTTTTTTAATATCTAACAAGGTATACTGGAGAACCAAATGATGCCCTTCGACACTTTAATAAAGCTCGGAAAGACAGTGACTGGGGCCAAAATGCCCTTTATAATATGATAGAAATCTGTCTGAATCCAGATAATGAAACTGTTGGAGGTGAAGTATTTGAAAATCTGGATGGAAACCTAGGGTGAGTTATCATTTGACAAATTATCCCTTTTCTGGAAACACTTACTAGGGATAACAAGCAAGGATACCTTCTAAAAGAGGGCTAAACTCTAGGAGAGCACTAATGAAAAGGCAGGTGAAAAAAAATCATAGCTAGAATAGCCATTCTCTGAAATAAGCATGAAATGCTTTTAAGAGGCTTCCTAAATCAGAATAAGCATGCTACAAAGACGTTTCCCTAATTACTTGTTGAAACAGCATAAATTATAGAATTTGATTACTTTAGCAAAAGCTGTCCACACAGTAACAGTAACTCCTTAGCATATGGTAGTTCTCTGCCATACCCTGTGCTATACTATATACTTTATGTGCATTGTCTTATTTACTCCCTGCAACAGTGTTGTGAACTAAGCTCAGAGTTAACCTATCTAATGTGATAGTAAATGGTGGGGGCAAGATGTGGACTGAGTTCTACGTGACCTCAAAGTTCCTGCTAATAGCCACCGTGGTGCACTGCTGATAAATAGTGCTATTGCTGTCAACCTGTGTTAGTTGCTTGTTCTCAGAAATGGGCAAGGCATTGTAGGGGATATATAAGGATGTAAATGCGTAAGGTACATAAGGTAGTTTCTGCCTTCAGGAGCATGTAATTTACTTAGGAGGCAAGACAATATCTGAAACCATTGGATCTTTGACAGAACAGAAATGGGTGAAATGGATAGTAAGTGTTACAAGAATTTATAGAAATCCTAGCAGTGCAAAGCAGTCAGGGGAAGATGCACAGGGGTGTGAGAGAAAATGAGAACAGACTGCTGAGAGGTTTTAATGACAGATTTGAAGGCTTGGGTTATAGAGACCATTAAAAGTTTTAGAGCAAAGGAGAGGCATGTTTCTGTTTGTTTATAAAGGTTTAGGTGACATACTGTTATGCAGCTATAGGCTGTCCTCATGGAACTATTTAGCAAATAGTTGAAAATATAAAACTAGAACTCAGAAGAGAGGTCCCAGCTGGAGATACAGGTGTGGGGGATGTGTGATCAGAGTAGACAGTTGGAGCTCAATGAATGGCCTCTTTGCAAATAGAATGCAGTAACATAAGTTTGAAAACTAAACTTCGGGCTAACGTTTAAGGGGATTGGAGGAGGAAGGGAAGTCAGAAAAGGACAGTCAGCATGGTAGCAAGAGACCCAAAACCATAATGTTACAGAAGGCAAAGGAGGGAAACTTTGAAGAAGGTATTCAACAATGTGAAATGTTTTAGAGAAGGTAAAGCCTGAAGCCTGAGGTAAAAAAAGCAATGGTTTAGTGAATGGGCTTTGAGAATTTAATTTCCTTTTATTAATTGATTTATATATTTTTTTAAAAATAAGAAAATTGATGTCACATATCCACATTGTTTTTACACTTGACATTTACAGCCTTTGACAGATACATAGTTTCTTTTCTGAGAGACTGATAGACAGGTAAAAATATTGCAGTACTTGACACATAGTAGGTGCTTCAGCAAAGTTAGTTACTTTTTACTCCCTCCTTTCTTTCCTTTCATTTTCTGAGTATATGTACCACTTGATAATTGTATGATTCTACTTCTCCTGAATTCTCGTTTTATATTAGTGGAAATGAACACACTCACCACATACAGATATTGTCCAATTTTTGTCTTCAGTCTAAAGTGGATAAATGTTTAATGGTGTTTCATTAAAGCTGTATTAATTGTTTAAATCTAATGCATTGTAACTGTGGTTCACCTTGTATTAGAAGAGAATGAGTGACATTCCACAAAAGGGTTACATTAAATAAGTGACAGCAAAGAAGCCAGTGTACCCTAGGGCTCATTCCAAAATCAGTGAATTTTACTTCATGAGTAACAGACAGATTTATTTTTAATTGTATATAGGAATTCAACTGAGAAGCAAGAGTCTGTGCAATTAGCAGTGAGAACAGCAGAAAAACTCCTTAAAGAACTAAAACCTCAGACCATTCAGGGTCATGTACAGCTTCGCATAATGGAAAACTATTGCCTAGTCGCTACCAAACAGAAGTCTAATGTTGAACAAGCATTGAATACTTTCACCGAAATAGCAACATCTGAGGTTAGATTTTCTTTTTCAGCTTTATATTATCTTTCCTTGGTGGTATAGAAATAGTTGTTTACTTTCTGAAGATTGACTTAATTACAAGTACAAATTGCCTCTGTAGTTCGGCATAATTCTACGTAATATATATATACCTCTGTTTCCAGAAGAAACAGTTTTGTTACTATTTTGATATGTTGTTTATATTTATTTATTTATATTTGTATTTATTTGTATTTCTTTATATATGTATTTATATTTATTTCTATTAGAATGGTAAATTCTAAGAAAAGGAAATTCTTCTTCAAAAGGGCATAAATTAACTCAAAGGAATGGCTTTATCTTCTGGAAAGTTTCTGTGTTGTTTCACTTAACTTGCTAAGTGAAAATAAATACCTGTCTGCCTTGATAGCTCACCTTTTCACTTATGCAAACTTGAAATGTTTCCAAATCTAAGGCTAAATGAGGTCAGTACTGACCGCTTATAATTCAGTCGTGAGAATAATGGTGTTGTTTCCCCCTGCAAAAACAATAATAGTAACAACAATAATAATAATTAGAGCAAATAATAATTAGGTCAGAGATTTTCTTCTCTTTTCACCTCACTCATATCCACCTTCTCACTCTGGGTGCTTGGTTTTGCCTTCTCTCACACAGTGCTGTATTTCTTCAATTGCTTGATACTAAGGAAGGAATTCTAGGGACCCCATTCATCAGCAGTGGGTGATCGCTAGTTCTAAGCATACTCATTGGATTTCATGTTCTTCCATTCAACAGTGTTGTAGGCCACCAAAAATTCATAATTTATGTCTCTCAGAGGACATACAGAACTTTGCTGTGTTTTCTTGCGGTTCGGAGATCACAGTGGTAGCAGTAAGCCACCAAAACCCCCCTGCAGTGGCCCCTTCCTCTTGCCTCCCATGACCGAGGAGAGCTTTGGGGAACCTATAGCTCCTGTTGCCATTTGTGCACAAGCATCCTAGATGGCACTTTATCACCCCTGTAAGCCACCCTTGGAACCTGACAGCAAGGTAGTATCAGCAGCAGTGACATTCTAGAGCAGCACCCTTCTGCTGACCATGACGTGACCCTCTCAGGGGTGGGCCGTGTGGCAGCAGATGGACGGCAGCGGCTGATGAATGGAGAGCAGAAGTAGGGGAGAGAGTTTAAGTCATGAGGTTTGAGAGAACACCAAAATCAGTGAGTGACATCACGGCTGTTTCTTAGCAGTACTGTGCCAGTTTTTTGTGTTGGTGAGACTGCATTGTTTTTACCATTCATATATGTGTGATTACTAATATACTACCCTCAAATCTGTTCACTGACCATTCCAGCCTAAGACTGATGCATGAACTGAAGTTTCAGCAGTGAGTTTTATCTGGGATTTTTTTCTTTTAACTCATAAGCTGCATGTATTAATAAAATGAATATTCACTAAGCAGCCAGTGGGTGCTAGGCAAAATGGGAATCACAAAACTGCATAGTCTCTTTTATCGAGTTTATCATAATCTAGGGATGATAAGGCAAAGCATACTGCCTGTGTACAAACCAAAATCTATTACATTTTGTCCTACAGTTACAGGTAAAAGTGGTGTAGGAAACAGTATAAGGAAAGTGGGGAGGCCCTTTTGTGGAGAGATGTGATTTAAGAAGAACCATGATAAATTGCATTTTCACAGGCAGAGACAGACGATACATACATTCTAGGGGAAGGGGAAAGTATGAACAAAGGCAAGGAGGCAGACAAGCATGGGGTATATTTATGACACTCTGTAGCATTCAGATTGATTGAAAAAGAGGTAGGTAACAGGAAGTCACCTGAGGAAAAGGTAGAAGACACATTAAACCCAAGCAAACTGTTTCCACCTGCTTTCATCCTGTCGTCTTGAAGCATAAGGGTGCATTGGTTACAACATGGCTGTATTGTCTTCTGTGATCTAAAGTTGCTGCAGCTCAGAGTGAGACATTGACAAGCCAGCTGAACACCTTAGGATGTCTGCACCAGAAAAGACATATGGGTCTAATGCAGGGGTTGTAACTCAGGTTTGCACTTTTAGAAACCATTCTTGAGTTCATTCAGGAGTGATCAAGCGGTGAGAAGTTGATTAATTCCAATCAAACTCAAGGTGTGTGATTCGGAGAGCTTATTTTTAAATGTATAGTGTGGGATATTTTTAGCATGTGACTAGATCTGGACTTTTTTTTAATTTTTTTTATTTTGAAAGAGAGATAGAGCATGAGCAGGGGAGGGGCAGAGATAGAGGGAGACACAGAATGCAAAGCAGGCTACAGGCTCTGAGGTGTCAGCACAGAGCCCGATGCAGGGCTCAAACTCACAAACTGAGATCATGACCTGAGCTGAAATTGGATGTTTAACGACTGAGCCACCGACGCACCCCTAGATCTGGACATTTTTATAGAACCTTTCTTGTCTTGGGCTGTCCTAGGACCAGGCTGACAAATTCAAAGCAGACCTCTATTTTCTTTCCTTTCTACAGAAGGGGGGAGGGGCTCAATAATTGATAATATGCCCCTTATGTCTCCAAAATCTACCACCAATTGGCTGAATTTGGCACTCAAACCTTTTTGCCATCCCTTAATTACAACAGCAAATTACATATTGGAAGTTTGTTGCTAGGCATAGAATTACAACCAAAGAAATTTTATCTTCCAAAAAATTGTTTTCATCAAGCTCTAAGGAACTGTCCTTCTCTATTCCAGGATTATTTCTTTTTTTATTTTTTAATTTTTTTTTTAATGTTTTATTTATTTTTGACAGAGAGACAGACAGAGCATGAGCAGGGGAGGGGCAAAGAGAGAGGCAGGCACAGAATCCAAAGCAGGCTCCAGGCTCTGAGCTGTCAGCACAGAGCCCAACGCAGGGCTCGAACTCACAGACCACGAGATCATGACCTAAGCCGAAGTTGGACGCTCAACCGACTGAGCCACCCAGGCACCCCATATTCCAGGGTTATTTCTGACTTCCAACCATGATCAGGGTTGGACATTGAACATGCCCCTCTAGTCTCCTTTTGGCAGTATTCCTTATTGGTTACCCAAACTTGCTATCTTACAGTGTACTTTTATTATAGTCATGATATGTCATCTTTTATTTGTATTTTAACCTGAAGCCTTGTCTTTATTAAAACATCATGATCCCACTGCTGAAATGTATGAAGCCCCCCTAGCTTTATCAGGGATATACACATATTGCTTAGGTAAGTTGGTTTTCTGGGTAGATCACTAATGGCTTCCATTTCATACCAATTCTTTTTAGTCTGTAGGTTTCACAGAGTGACATTTTCTGACTCTGAACTCTTCTCTAAAAGAACATTGTGTTTTATAGACACTATCAAGCAGTAAACTCTAAGTCTAAAAGAGTGTTTTAAGGCATGAGTTTATTTCATATAATTTCTAAGTGATTAATCGCATGCCTTGTTTATAAAATTTCATTGGTCAAACTTAATTGGATGAAGAGGCTTTCAAATAAAACAAGAAGGAAGGGAAAACAAGCAATAAAAGTCTATATCGATAAAAAGTCAATATAGATAAGTCAGTAGAAGTTCACATAGAGAAGGAATATCATTTGCAGGTAAATCATTCTTATTCTTGTTTTACAAGTGAAAGAACTAAGGAATCTGAATGCAGAATCTGAAACGCAAATGTTTAATGAGTATTATACTGAAATAGAATTTTGTTTTTTCCTGTTTCTGTATAAAACCATAAAAACTAATTAGTCCCCAAAAGATCAAGTCGCCTTAATGGTCTGAATCATATGGTTCTGGCATCTGTGTATTTATTGAATTATTTTGACCGCATGGTGCCTGACCAGTTTTCTCCATGATAGCTTGAGTTTACTCGATGTATTAAATAATGACTATGTCAGTTATATCTGTAGAGCCAGTTACAGAATTCACAGGCCAGTTCTCACATTGTGTAGCACTTGCTACTTTCCCTGTTTCCTTTTAAACATACAACATGTATATTTGTGTATATGGGTATCTGAAGTTTTGCTTTCTTACAGAGGGATCATATTCCAGCACTTTTGGGAATGGCAACAGCTTATATGATCTTGAAACAGACTCCAAGGGCCAGAAACCAGCTGAAGCGGATTGCGAAAATGAACTGGAATCCTATTGATGCTGAGGACTTTGAGAAGAGTTGGTTGCTGCTTGCTGATATTTATATTCAATCAGCAAAATACGACATGGCAGAAGAGCTATTAAAACGGTGCCTGCGTCATAATAGGGTAGGTGATTGAAGAATAAAACATCATTGTTAACCTTTCACTTACAAGCTTCCCGTAATAGGTTATTATAGAATGTTGGTCCATTTCTAAGGATTCTTGTGTATTTTTTGAAAATTAAATGTTTATTCTCAACACAATCAGGAAATAAACAGTCATGAGAAGAAAGAAGCCATTTGCTTTTGAAAATAAAGAAAAATAGAGATTTATGCAGTTTCAGGGTTCAGCTGTGGTTTACGCCCCACTTACAGAAAGTGTTTATGGAATGTCAAGCATTTGTGATTATCCAGCTCATCCCAGAACTAATGAAAATTGCAGAAGAACGTTAATTGCGGACGTCTGTCCCTCCTATTAAGAAATACTCTAGATAAATTTACTGCAGCTGCATGTTGTTTTCACATTATTAAAATCCACTATGCATAATATATTTTTTTGGGGAAAAGTCTTTCCAGCATTTAATTTGCTTATTAAAAAGTTCTTACCTTTAGGTATAAAGCTGGAAATCTTTAAGTCTATACAATTCCACCATATTTCAGTAATAGCGCATTTTGGTTTTTAGGCACACAAAAAAGAATGTCTTATAACATTTTTAAAGAATTTGTTACTATTTGTTGAGAAATAATTGCAATCAACTTAGAAACTTAAGGATATTTATCTTTACAGATTCATGTCAATTACCTCAAAATCGTAATCATAGTAAATCTGTCTTATTCTCTTTGAGCAAATTAAGTTATAAAACAGATCATCTAATGCTATTAAGTTACTTTAATAACTTTAAAAACCCAAAGTATCAAGCCATTTATCAATTTATAGTCTGTACATCTAATTTGAAGTTAAGTTGGACTTGAAAAACAGGTAATACTAATTAATAGGTTTTGAAAAATCTGCCTCCAGACCCCTCGGGCAAAGGGAATAAGACAAAAATAAACTACTGGGACTACACCAAAATAAAAAGCTTATACACAGAGAAGGAAACCATCAACAAAGCAAAAGGGCAGAAGTGGGAGAAGATATTTGCAATGATATATTTGATAAGAGGTTAATATCCAAAGTATATAGGGGTGCCTGGGTGGCTTAGTCAGTTAAGCCTCTGACTTCGGCTCAGGTCATGATCTCACAGTTCGTTGGTTGGAACCTAGCATTGGGTCTGTGCTGACAGCTTGGAGTCTGGAGCCTTCTTCGGGTTCTGTATCTCCCTCTCTCTCTGCCCCTCCCCAACTAGCATGTACGCTCTCTCTCTATCTCTCTCTCTCTCTCTCAAAAATAAACAAACATTAAAAATTTTTGAAAAAAAGTGAAAAAATATCCAAAGTATATGAAAAATTTGTAGAATTCAATACCAAAAACAAACAAAAATCCAATTTAAAAATGGGCAGAGGACCTGAATAGACATTTTTCCAAAGAAGATGTACAAATGGCCAATAGACATGAAAAGTTGCTCAATATCACTAACCATCTGGGAAATGCAAATCAAACCCACAGTGAAATATCACTTTACACCTGTCACAATGACTAGGATCAAAAAGACAAAAAATAACAAGTGTTGGCAAGGATGTAGAGAAAAGGAAACTCTTGTGCACTATTGGTGGGAATGTAAATTTGTACAGCCACTATGGAAAACAGTATGGACGTTCCCCAAAAAATTAGAAATAGAAAGACTATATGATCCAAAAATTTCACTGCTCACTATATACCCAAATGAAATGAAAACACTAATTCAAAAAGTTATATACACTCCCATGTTTAAAAAGCAGCATCATTTACAATAGCTCAGATAAGAAGCAACCCAAGTGTACATTGATAGAATGGATAAAGATGATGTGGCAGATATATTCAGTGGACTATCACTCAGCCATAAAAAGAGAATGAGTCCTTGCCATTTGTGCAACATGGATAGACCTAGAGGGTATTACGCTAAGTGAAATAAGTCAGAGAAAGATAACTACCATATGATTTCACTTATATGTGGAATCTAAACAAACAAAAGGCAGAAACAGACTCAAAGAACAAACTAATAGCTGCCAGAGGGTGGGTCATAGGGGTATGGGCAAAGTGGGTTAAGAGGAATGGGAGATACAGACTTCCAGTTATGGAGTGAAAAAGTCATGGGGATGAGAGGTACAGCATGGAGTGGGTGGGTCCCTGGGAGACTTAGTTGGTTAAGTGTCCAGCTCTTGATTTTGACTCAGGTCATGGTCTCACGGTTCATGAGTTTGAGCCCCCGGTTGGGCTCTATGCTGACAGGGCACAGTCTACTTAGGATTCTCTCTTTCTGTCTCTCTCTGCGCCTCCCCCCTCAAAATAAATAAATAAACATTTAAAAAAAGAAAAGAGGTACAGCATAGGGAATATAGTCAGTGATATTGTAATAACGTTGTATGGTGACACATGGGAACTATGCTTGTAGTGAGCATGGAATAAGGTATAGACTTGGTAAGTCACTATGTTGTACACCCAAAACTAATGTAACATTGTGTGTCAATTATACTTCAATTAAAAAGAAAAAGAAAAATGTAAACAGCCAAATGGCTGACCCTTACACACCTCGTCTAGGATTAAGTGAGATTACATGGAAATTAAGGTTTCAGTGCAGATAGAATTTCAGTTTCCTGGAACACTGACAGCAATATATTGCATGGCTGAACACAATGGCTACTTTAGAGGCACCATTTGGCTGATTAGGCATGTCAATATTGGAAGCATGAGATTCAGGAACTAGAGCTTAGAAACCTTGAATTGTATAATTAAAAGATGGAGATCATCCAGATCTGGGACAGAAATGTACAGGATGACACTAGACCATCTTGTCATACCAGATGGCAAGGAAGCTATCGAAGATGATTAGAGTCATGTCAAGGACTCAGGAGCCAACTTGAAGACACTCACAGTAGCCAGAGTTGGAACACATTAACTCTCAGTAAGAATAGTAACTGCAGTGGATTGAAACACACCAAAAAAGTTTAAATCCATGGGTTTACAAAGATCCAAAAAAGAAAAAAAAAAATGAAAAACCTAATTAATCACCATTGGCATATACTGATGAACTATTATTTCTGAAGCTGGGAAATAAAGGGAAGGCATTAAGCACTTAGCCTACCTTTTCTGTATGAACTACACTACTGGGAAACAATATAGTATAAAAGACATCTCTTATTATAGATGTTTTCCAGATAATAAATGAAGAGTGATAGACTATCATCATTTTCCAGCCCTGATAAATTGATGAACAGGTATAACATCATAAAAAGAGAATCTGACGTTATGTGCCTCCTCAGGGAAGATCACGCCATCTATGACAGGGCTGAACTGGGGTGAGGCGAGTGAAACCCTCACTTGGGGTCCAAAATTTCCAAGGGCACTTTACATCTCAGTAATGATCTTAGGCAGCTGGTGCTACTATAACAAAGTGCTATAGACCGGGTGGCATATAAACGGTAGAAGTTGATTTGTCACAGTTCTGGAGGCTGGACGTCTGGAGTAAGGGTGCCAGCATGGCTGGGTTCTGGTGAGGGCACCTTTCTGGGTTGCAGACCACTGACTTTTTGTTGTGACCTCACATGGTGGGAGGAGAGGATAAGAGGACTGTCTGGGGTCTCTTTTATAAGGACACCAATCCCACTCATGAGAGCTCCACCCTCATGACCTAATTAGCTCTGAAAGATCCCATCTCCTAGTAGCATCACACTAGAGGGTAGGCTTTCCATGTACGGATTTGGGGGGAATAGAAACAGTCCATTGTAGATAAATTATCATTTAATCAAGGTACCTATTATAAATTATAATAAAATATTATTACAATAAATAATGCAGGGGCACCTGGGTGGCTCAGCTGGTTGAGCATCTGACTTTGGCTCGGGTCATGATCTCACAGTTTGTGAGTTCAGGCCCCACATCGGGCTCTGTGCTGACAGCTCAGAGCCTGGAGCCTGCTTCAGATTCTGTGTCTCCCTTTCTGTCTGCCCCTCCCCTGTTCACATTCTGTCTGTCTCACTCTCAAAATAAATACATAAACATTGGGGAAAAAATTTTTAATGAATAATTTAATGCAGTATTTTTCAAACAAAATGCCAAAATGTTAAATAGCATCTGACAGTGCTGTGCTGAGTGGTATTGAAGCCTGAAACAAAAGGGGAAAATTTATGCCTCCATATCCATGTTTTTACGTATTTTTCCTTTTTAAAATGTTTACTTATTTATTTTGAGAAAGAAAGCACGAGCAGGGGAGGAGCAGAGAGAGGGAGGGAGAGAATCCCAGGCAGGCTTCACACTTCCACACAGAGCCCCCACACAGGGCTCAAACTCATGAACCATGAGATCGTGACCTGAGCCAAAATCAAGAGTCAGACGCTTAACCGACTGTACCACTCAGGTGCCCCTATATAGTTTTCAGTGGGTAATGATTTTAATGAAAATGTTAATATATTTACTCCCATTAAAGTCAGGAAAATAAAATTATAATAAATTTAGTTTGGGTATAAAGAAATATTTAAATTTTAAATATTGTGAGTTTTAATATCTCAACTTGTCAATTTGATTTGTAAAATGTTAACATCTGGGGGGGAAATTATCAATTAAATCACAAAAACATGTATACAGAGTTGTGCATTTTTCCTTTTGCCTCAGGCTCCAATGTGGCTCACCAGGGCACTGACCTAGAAGTACTTTTACCTCTGTCCTCAAAGATTGAAATCAAATTCAAACCTCTAGATCTAATTACAATTTCCAGGAAATATTGGTGATATAGGAATATATTACATAAGCACTGCAAGGATGCATTCAACTAAATCTGGGCTGTGAGGAACTCTAGCATAAAAATTCTTTTTTGCTACGTTTAATTGCAAAAAAAGAGACACAGAGAGAGATGGAGAGGAAACCTCTAGATCAAAAGAAAGTTGAGAGACATTTCCACCAGTTACAATGTGTGGGCCTTGTTTGGATCATCTTCCTAACAAACTAAAAACAAGACAAAACAAAATGATATTGAGACCATTTGAAATTTGAATAATGAATGGATATTTGGTAATATCAGTGAGTTGTTACGTTTAGGTATGATAAATTGTGGTTATGTTTAAAGAAAGTCCTTGTATTTAAAGAGGCATACTAAAGTAAAATATTTATGAATGAGATGATACAATATCTGAGGATTTTTTTTTTCTTTCATAATACAGAAGGACAAGTGTGGGAGGTAGAGGTTAAAACAGTATTAGTCCTGATTTAATTGTTGAAGATAGAGGTTCATGGGGTTCATTACACTGTTAATTTTAACTTAAAACTATTTGTAATAAAAACTGTGTATATGTGTAAAATACACAGTCCATTGCCTAGCATGTAAAACTCCTGACTCTGGGGGGAATAGGAGTGAGACTTGATCAGAATCTTTCATTAAGTCCCATAGATGACTTAATTGCATAGCCAAGGTTGAAAAACATTGTTTTATATGCCAATTAAATGAGTTAATATGGTCAACCTCTAGAGTCATAAGCACCCCCATAAAATCAAGTGATATCTGTTGATAACATCTTCCATTTTTTTTTTCAGTCTTGCTGCAAAGCTTATGAATACATGGGATACATTATGGAAAAAGAGCAAGCATATACAGACGCTGCCTTAAACTATGAGATGGCATGGAAACATGGCAATCAGACAAATCCAACAGTAGGTGAGTTTAACAAATTAGATACTAGGTTTTTCTGGAAACTTGGGTTTTATTTGTAAATCTCCATTTAAATGCATTTAATATTTTTTAAGAACAAAATAAACAGCCAGCTTCCTAAATAAAAAGCCAACTTCCTTTATCAGTCCTTCTGAAAAATAAATTTTATGTTCATAATAGATTATTAGCTTAATAGTTACTAAGTATAATGTCCTGAGATTCAGACGGGTCCTCAGTTACATCTTTTTTTTTTTTTTCAATTTTTTTTTAATGTTTATTTTTGAGAGAGGGAGAGACAAAGCATGAAAAGGGGAGGGGCAGAAAGAGAGAGAGACACAGACTCTGAAGCAGGCTCCAGGCTCCTAGCTGTCAGCACAGAACTCGACACAGGGCTCAAACCCACGAACCGCAAGATTGTGACCTGAGCCAAAGTCAGATGTTTAACCAACTGAGCCACCCAGGCGCCCCTGCATCTAATCTAACTCTGCCCCTTTCTCTCCCTTTAACCCTCTGCTATTTCTAAAATGATAATGCTGTGGGAAAAAGTATTCCAATGTCACATCAGTTAGGAAAACATTTCATTAAATCAAGATCAAGTTCAGTGGCAAGGGATGTGGGAGAAGCAGAGAGAGAGAATGCAGGACATGGAGCCTTTATCAGTCCTTCTGAAAAATAAATTTCAGGGGTGTGGGGCTCAATCCCACGACTGTAGGATCATAACCTGAGCTGAATTCAAGAGTCAGATGCGTTACCAACTGAGCCACCCGGACGCCCCTGCAGGTCTCTTTACTGCAGAACTTCTTATGCCTTTAAACACTAATGTACATTCTGATGGATATCACAGAGGGACGTGTTTCCCACAATATGACCCTGGAACATTTTTTTTATTTTTACTGAGCATCCAGAAACATCAATTTGTTCCAGTGGTAGACTCAAGGAATGCAGTCTCCAACATCCCTACCAGATGGACAGCATCTAGAATATATTTAGTGACTAGCCTCCCTCCACATTGCGAGGAGCTCATACCTGTGCTCTTCCCTTTCTTTGTACTGAGCTGAAATATGCTGCATTGAAACTGGTCAGGTCTCTTCTCTGGAGCAGCCCACAGAGTCTCTTCCCTCTTACCGATGGTGGCATTCTAATTCAACCTCTGTCCTGTCTCTCCCAAGACATCTCTTCAAACTATCTCAATTACTTGTCCATTCTTCCTGAGACTTGCTTCCAAATCTTTCAGCCTTCTTGTTCCTGTCTCCTGTAAACTCTAAAATAATGCTTCCTACTCTGTCCTTTGGAATAGTTGGTGAGGTATTAATAGTTACTTCTTTAAAAAAAGAAAAAAAATGAAGAGAATTGAGTATAAAGAGATTAGATTTCATGGCCAGATAACTTTGGAAAAGGCTCTTTTGTTTGTCCATGTCCCTCCCAAAATGTTGTACCAGAAATTAACAAGTTCTTAAGTATAATTTAAGAATCTAATTATATGCGTAATCAAGCTATTTTTTTATTAAGCATTTTAGCAGTTGTTAACTTAGCCTTAAGGTGGCATCAGTCTTTTGAGCAGCTATGTCATGGTATGGACTCAGATTTAATTTGCAATTAGATAGGTCGTCTTTACATTAACTGCTGTCAGTTCAGGACTTCCCCCACCTTGTATTTTTCTTGAGTTTGTTATTTTACTAGACTGGTATATGGCACAGGAACTAATACCATACCGTTTGTTGATAGTATTTTTCCTTCTTAAGATCATGTATCCTACACAATAAAGTCAGCTTGTAAAATAAAAATTCCTTAAATATATTTTATTCCACAGAAGGAATACATTTACAAGTTAAATTATTTAAACATTCTGTTCTTTGGAAGACGTCAGCAAATATTCCACCTCATTCATTCTTTCATTGTGTCATCTATGTATTTTATAGATGATTTTGTCAATTTCCCTGACTTCTCATTAGTAAGTTTTCTCTGAGGCTCCCAGTTCATTCTTTAGTTTCTTCCTTCAGATTGTCATTGTATCCAACACCTGCAATTGCCTTTCACTTTTACAGTTGTCAGGAAATCCTTAAAATCACGGTCATGTTCTTTCCAAAGGATTGAGGCTTGAGTACTGTCACTATGAAAGGCACCAGGAACTGAGATCCAAAAAGAAAACACAATTCTGTTTCCCCCTTTACATCCATTCTCTGGTTATATGACACTCACTAGACTGTGTACATTGTTCATGTTCCTCCTCCCCCCCCTCCCCTGCCATGCTACCTTTCTTCCCCTCACTACACAGAGTTGAATTTTTGTAAGCTTGACAGGTATAATGCAGCCTCAGTGTACATATCCTTTGACATTTCTGGCCCTTTATTTCCTCCCTAAAATATTTTGAACAAGATGATCTATCAGGTTTCTTCCAACATTAAAACTTTGTTCTTCTATTTTACTATTAGTCCTATTTGTATGGTGCTCTAAAACTTTTAAAATCCTTTCACGGTAAGTATTTCCTTTGATCTTAAAAGTATACTAAGAGTTGGGGGGAGGAGGGGTTGATGAGGAAACTTGAAGTTGGCAGCTCACCTGAGGTCTCAAAGCCAGTCAGGAAGCCAGACCCCAAAACTGAAGTCCAACTTTTTTGGCTGTAGTTTTCATGTAAAGTATGTTTGACATGGCATGACATCTTAAATTGTTTTCCTTTTTAAATGTCACCAACTTTATTAGCCAATTTTACAATTCCTTTGTAATGATATCAAGTTTAACTCTCCTAAACTTACTGTTTTCATCTTTGATGGTTTTATAGGCATGTGTGTTCATGTGTGTTTTTAGCAAACACTATGAATTTCAGATAAGTCCTGTTTCTTACTTTTTACTACCTTATGATTACATTAGCCAGTAATTCCTTTCAAATATTTGTTTGAAATAAAAAAAAAAATTGGTACTTTTATTAGACCCCAAGAGCAGCATTTAAATTTCCGTGATTTATATTTGCAAGAGGTAAAGTGAAATATTGAATGTATTAATTACATATTATTTTACATCATGGTATATACATCATATCTTGTCTTATCTCCTGTTTGCTAACTCTTACAGCGTTCTTACAGAAAAGCAGCAATCATTTAAGAATGTCTTAAAACTTTGTTTTAAATTGTCAGTATTTGAAACATGACATTTTGGTATCAGTAATTGTGATAATTGTTACTAATCATTGATGTGGCATATCTGGTGACTGCTCTGTCCTCTTCTGGGCCACCCTCCCAACTGCTCTGCCCTGTCGTACTCCAAATCCATTTGGTTCCTGTGGGTCCCATGACTGCTGCTGCCTGGTCAGCTCCTTCTGCCATCTTGCTTCCGATTCCCTTGGCCTATCCCCTCATCCTTCAGATTCCAGGCATTGCCTGATACCCACCCCCTCCCCACCCAGGTTGCTTATGATAGCTCTCTTGGCTTGTACCTTTCTTTCTTGCATTTATCTCACTTTGGAAATTGGTGACATACTTACATAATTACTTAAATAATATACATTCCTTCCCTAATAAAATGTAAACCTCCTGACTGCGCCTGACATGTTAAGTGCTAAATAAACCTATGTGGTATAAATGAATAGCTGTGTTATCATTTACTGCCCTGTGATGAGTTATTACTATAATCTGAAATAAATGGGATTTTTTTAGTAAGTTACAAAAGCCACTCCTGTAGGATGGCAGTCTTCTGACCCAACAGGATATTCACTGCAGTCCTTTTTCTAACTCCATTTTTTTCGCTGCCTGTTCTCCCTTTGAGCCACTCCACCTTCCATTATCCCATCCCTTCTCTCTTTACACTATAGTCACCAGCCTTCGTTAAGACTTCTCAAATGAGTAAGCAAACAAAGGAGGGGGCAAAAAAGGTAATGCTAGCAGTGTGCTCTATAAATAGTGCTACATGATTATGTTGTTGTTGTTGTTGTTGTTGTTTTTTTGTCTTAACAGGATACAAATTGGCATTCAATTACTTAAAAGCAAAAAGATATGTGGATGCAATTGACGTATGTCACCAGGTAATATTTCAATATAGATTTCTTAAAATGTTTCAGATACACCATTTCCTACTTTTAGTTAATCTCAAGATGTACATGAATTCATCTTACTGCAATGGTAGAGGTAGACGATGTTGTATTTGGATTAAATGGCTTCATCAAATACATCTGGGAGAGATTTCTGCTTTTCAAAGTTTAGATAATAATAAATTTACTTGAATCAAACATAGTTTTAATTGAGGCTCAAATAATAAAATGTTTGTGTCACGTTAAAGACAGAGACAAGGGGAGAAGCATGTGAACTAAAACCATTGATTCTCCAAGCCATTCTTCTGAATAGAAGTTCTTGTGAATGTGTCTAAGTCTGGTTAGTGCAGAATCCAGATTTATAAATTAGAGATAAGAGGTATTTCTGTTACTTAGAAGTCATTCGATTACATTTCTGTAATCTATCCCTAACTAAATGATCCTTTAGCAAGTGACAAATATTTAAGTTGTAGGTTTAGAATTTGCAGTTTCCTTATATGTACATTGTCCCATTGATATATAAGGCACTGCACCATTGTTCCAGATAAGGCATTATATTGTTAGGAGCTCCAAGAAAAGCAGCTCCTTCGAAAGGAATTATGTAATGTCTCCTATCCTAAATAGCTGTATCAGCATCATTATAGCAAATCTTGGCTTCAGTGATTGCTATTGATTGCTGAGCCTCTCTGTAAGGCAGTGTTTCACATTAAGGTTAAGGTTGTGCATTAATGTAAGGTTATGCATTAGAACCATTTGTGGAATTCTTTTTTAAAAAATGAGTATCTCCCCACTACTAGACTCAGTAGGCCTAAGAATTTGTATGTTTCAAAATAACTCCAAGTATATCTGATATGTGCTACTGGTCAAAATTAACTTTGTGAGGGTTTATTAATATCATATGAATAGCTAAAATATCTTAAGTTTTTATTTATTCATTTCAAGAGAGAGCATGTGCTTGAGCCGGGGGAGCAGCAGAGAGAGAAGAGAGAGAATCCTAAGCAGGCTCTGCACTTTCAGTGCAGAGCCTGATGCAGAGCTCAATCTTGGGAACCACGAGATCATGACCTGAGTCGAAATCAAGAGTCGGACGCTTAACCGACTGAGCCACCCAGGCGCCCCGATTAGCTAAACTTTCTAAATATTTAAAATCATTGATACATACTTGTTTTTTGCAACTGATCCATTAAGGAAGTAATTATATTTGTTGTATTTCTCACATGTATTCTATTGTTGTCTTCTAAGTACTATTACTAGGAGTTATGTCACATTTCAAATGTCACCTTTAAGAAGTGTTGTTATATTTGTAATATTAATACAATGAAATCTCAACTGGAATGCATATTTCCAGTAAGTTTTATAGCTCTAGTTCTCAGTAATCAATTACAAGTTCTTGTGCTTTTGTTTTTTGTTTTTGCAGGTTCTTGAAGGACATCCAACTTATCCAAAAATCAGAAAGGATATACTTGATAAGGCCCGCATGTCTTTGAGACCTTGAAAACTGTTAATATTTAGTTTGTTGATGCAGCAGGAAATGGAAGGAATCAGTTCTTCTGGGTCAAAATAGGTTTGAGCTAAAGCTCTATAACAGAAGCATCCTTTTCTTTCTCCAGCAGAGGCTGCTATTGTATATAAAGAGAAATGCTGTGTCACATGGATGGTTTCTAATGGAGCAGGTGACTTAGAGCTGGTTTATTTGATTGCCTGTCTTGATTAGGAATAGATTTGGTGTCTCTGTGGTAAAGATTATAACCCATTTCTATAAAGAACATTTTATTAAATACTAGGTCATTAAGTATCCTATACCTTTTCTTAGGAACATTAGTTGTTTATTTCAGGAAATATATTTAAAACGCTATTGTTCTTTGTTAACATTCTTTGCTGTTTCAAAGGTTTGAAAAAGTTTTCTTGTTAATAATGTATGAAAAATAAAAAGTCTATTTTAATAAAGACTTTACAAATTTATGGTTTGTATTGCTCTTGGAACTCAAGAGACATGGTAAGTTTTGCAAAATCAGGGTAAGCTCCCTGTACAATTCACGATGTTTAGTGAGTAGTAGCACAGAATATGTGACTTGCCTAGAAGAATCTTTTTAGAAAAATACAAAGAATGTGAGTTTCCCTTCCCTTCGTTGAACTCCTTCTTTCTGCTTTTGATGCTAATGTGATCTTAAGAAATAATCTATACCTGAAATCCATTTACATAGGTAAGCTCTTACAGCAATAATTAACCTTAGCCCAAAGACTCGGTCTTTTGAGATGACTTCAGACACTGTAACATCTGGCAGAGAAGGGTGACAATATTTCTGGTCAACAGGGACTCACCAAGCACACCCTGTGAAGGCAACTGCTTACCTTACCGTGCCTAACACCCTCTCGCCCAGTAGTTCTCAGTCTTTTAGGTTAAGTTTAACCTAATCTTAATAAACTCAATTTTTAGCATTATTTCTGATTTGTTGTCTATCTCTTTCTCACTTGTCTTTAAAAATATCATAGTCTTCTATGTCATTTGCATTTTCAATAAATAGAGTATTTTTTAGTCACTGCTGCTTTTATTTTTTTTTTTTTAATTTTTTTTCAACGTTTTTATTTATTTTTTTTGGGACAGAGAGAGACAGAGCATAGACGAGGGAGGCAGAGAGAGAGGGAGAACACAGCGAGTCGGAGAATAAGGCTCCAAGTCTGAGTCATCAGCCCAGAGCCTGATCACGAGCATTCCGACTCGGTGCGAGATCGTGACATGGCTGAAGATCGGACTAACCATTTGGCGCCACCCAAGGCGCCTAGTCACTGCTGCTTTAATGTCTCATAGTATTCTTTATATCTCTTTTTGATCACTTCTGCAATTTTCCAGAGTCCTTTTAATTCCAATTATATGTTATAAAATTCTAATCATTCTTCTTTTTTTTTTTTTTTTTTGAGAGAGAGCACATGAGCATGGGAGGGCCAGAGAGAGAGAGAGAGAGAAAGAGAATCCCAAGCAGGCTCCACACCATCAGCACAGAGCCTGACATGGGGCTCGAACCCACGAAACACAAGATAACCACCTGAGCTGAGGTCAAGAGTTGGACGCTTAACCAACTGAGCCACCCAGGCGTCCCTAATCATTCTTCTTTTTCACCTACTTTATTGTGTTTCATGAAACTATTTAATAATAAGAGCATTTATGAAGCATTTCGTATCTCTTGAAACACTTTCACGTGTCTTAGTACAGTTAATATCACCCCACAACTCTAGGACATAGGCTTCATTATCCCTGTTTACAACTCTGGAACTGTGGCAGATTATATCTTTCTTTGTATTTCAGCCTGAACGGATACTGTTAAGGACATTATATAACAGAATACCTTTAGGAGTTCTAGTGAATTTGCATCATGGGATGCTAGAGTCCTGGAAATTGGATAGAGACAGCAGAACATCTCTTCTCCCAGCAAGACATTTCCAAATCAGTCTTCCTTTCTGTAAAATCAGGAGTTTGTTTTTGTTTCCTCAGCAGCCACTGAATATTTTGCACCTGCCATTTGCTAGGTACTATTCTAGGAACTTTACTTACGTTATGTCTTTTAATTTTCATTCAACTCTCCAGAGGAAAAATACTCATTTTTCAGGTGAGGAAGATGGAGGTGCAGGTAAATGATTTGCGCAAAAGGTCACAGACAAAACATCAGAATCTGGATTCCATACTGACCCAGACAGCTTCGAAGTTCATACCCTATTTGCCATAGTGAGACATCTTATAGAGCTAGAGAGATTGTGTCTATAAGAGCAAATTATCTTGTCTACATCTGGCTAGCAGACGAAACTAGATGTTCTGTCACAGAGATAGTCAAGTAATGAGGAACAAGATGAACTGAGTGGAATGCACAGTTCTTACAAACGTGGAAACTACCAAAGAGAAGTCTAATTGAGGAGCAGTATGGTGTAGCAGTTAAGAACATGGATTTGAAGTCAGACCAGCCTAGGTTTACATTTGACTCTACCCCTGACTAGATGTTTTGTCTTTCTCAAGTTACGTGGGCTCTCTGAGCCTTGAGTTTCCCATCCATAAAGAAGCATATAAGAATAAATCTGTCTCAGGTTGTTGTAAGATTTAATGAGAGAACATATATAAAACCTATAATGAATCTGACTCACTTAGGCTCTTAATAAATAGTGGCTGTACTTATTATAAGTGGAACAGGGCCAAGTAGTAATTGCAACTGAGAAAAACCTTCACCGAAGAGAAAAATGCAGTCCAAGGTATGATAAAGAGGACAAGTAAGCTCCCCAAGACAGCTCAATCAGACAGGATTCAGGGTTCTCATTCACGTTCTCCCTCCTCCCCACCCTGTCTCTTCTTTTTTCCCTCTGTCCCTCTCTCCTCCCCCCAGGAACACTGTGCTGTATTCTCTACATGCATAATCTCATTTCATCCAGCTCTGCTTTTGCCCTCACCTCCTGTACCCAGGATTCTCTCTCTATTCCCTACTCCTCTCCCTTACCCTGCTTCCTGTCTCCAAGCTTCCTGCTCTAGGCTTATTCTTTCTTTCTTTCAGGTATCCATTTCCTGTTCTTCCTCAGAGGCCATGTCCACGGCCAGGCCCATGATCTAAAGTAGCCGTCCTGTCATACTCTACCATATCACCCTTTTTAAACTCCACTTAGCTTGTGATGAAGCCGGTTCGATTTCATTAGGTCACGAGTCTCGCTGTCCGGGATGAGCCCCAGTCGGTTTCTGGCTGATACTAGGACTGAGCCTTGCTTCATTCTAGGTCCTCTCTCTCTGCCCTCCCTGCTCATGCTCTGTCTCTCTCTGTCCCAAAAAATAAATAAACGTTGAAAAAAAAAAAAAAAAAAAAAAAAAAACTCCACTTAGCACTTAACCAATCTCTGAGGTTTTCTTGTTCACTATGGCATGGTTTCTGCCCACGGCTTATGTGCCGTACCCAGGATCACACATCCAGGAAAGCGGGAGCTCAGACTGCTCTGAACTGCTGCTTGAAGGAATCAAGTTAGATGAGGGTTTGGGGGCTGCACTCAGGACAGAGGAGAGGAGCACAGCATGGAAGAATTTTCTGTCAACCTAGGATCAGAATACCATCCCGTCAAAGTTTAATGCACTTTGAGCTTAAATCAGCTAGTATGACGAACTGGGTCCCAAGAAGAAATCGCTTTCTTTCCAAAAGTCAAGAACCTAGAGCCATTCTGGAAGGGCTTTATGCACCCACAGCTGAGGAAGCTAGGTTGAACTTTGCATTAGGGTACGAGTAGCTAACAATCATGGAAACCAAACGACCAGTTAAGACTGACAGAAACAATTTTGAGTTTGGGACTAGAGACGACAAGTGAATAGCCTTATAACAGGATCCTATAGCAGCACTAGTGCTGATAAAGTAACAAATGCCTTGTTTGAAATGTAAGATTGGCAGAGGTGCAAGGAAACCCACATTCACACTCTGCTGGCAGAGCGCAGTGCAGCCTTACTCAAGCACATTTTGGCATCGTGGATTAAGAGTTTGTCCTTTGACTAATCCCACTTGGAGAAAATTTATCGGAAATACTCAGAAATTCCGGTTAAAAAAATGTGATAGCAAACAGCTTGAGTTATTTGGGTTTTTTTTTGTTACCAAAAACACTCAACATAAATGAAGTGGTCAAATACATGAAAAGTGTACCCAATAATGGAGTACTACTATGTAGTCATCAAAAACTATTTTCGAAGATGTTTTTATGTGTTTTTTGAAACTTTTTCCAGATTTTTAACTACTAAATTCTCACAAAATAGTAAAAAAGAAGAAACATAACTTCATATATTAACTTGCAAAAAATGGATGCATAGATATAAATACAAAACTAGATGAAGTTAACCCAATTTATAGCTAGTTATATCTGAGTGCTGAAATAATCAGCAATTTATTTCTTTGCTATTATTCAAGTTCACTGCAGTGAACATCTACACTAAAAAAGTTCGGGTTTGGTTTTGTTTTGTCTTGTTTTTTTAGAGAATAACGTTCTCAAGCTTGCTTCTTGCTGCCTGTTTAAAGCTGTTTAGCTGAACAAAGATGAGTAGAAAAAACTACACAAAAGCTAGCATTCTTTCAACTCTTAACACCCACACTCTACTACTAATTGTTTATGCAAAATGTAATCTGGTTTATTTCAGTTGTCAGAGAAAAAGATTCAGGATGTAGAAGTTAGAACAAGACGCTGCTGGAAAATGTTAACCCGAGGGGTAATAGCCGGTAATAGAACATGGAATTACTAAGGAGGATAGGAGCTTCTCTTGTCAAAATGGGTGAAGAGCACAGTCCCACAACTGCGGGAAAATGGAGAGCAAAACCAGTCCTCTGCACTTTTAGCCCATATTCTAGCAGCAGAGTTTTGCCAGTGGAAATAACTGAAATCACACAAGGCCACAAAGTGTGGTTGTGTAGCTCGTGTCCTGAATGGAAGGACCCCGCTACGGGGGTGGTGGGTGGAGGCTGAAATCCAGCATCCAGGTCTTACGTCCTGCAACTG